CATAAGCTATTGAAACAAGCGTAGGTGTTTAGTGACCGAGGGTCACAGTAGAGGCAGTTAACAACCTCTTTAGTCATCACTGTTCTGAACACGTGTTGCACATGAACGCCAATGTACAAGGCCAAGAAAGAGGATGTTGTCCTCGATTCTTTAGTACTGTAGAAGCTACAGAAAAGTTTATATTTTATAAATCATCTCGATGTTTGATGCAGTATCAGTTACAGTACATGGGTGTAGCAGTACAAGCAAGTAGGCAGCCGGCTAACAGCAGTTGCCCATGACCAATAGCCTGAGGGTTTTTGGGTGTGGTACCGGACCAGTCCAAAACTTGCCTGCAAGCATCCAATAGGAGCACCGCACTACTTGTGGGTGATGCTGTGTCCTATTTGGATACTCGTCAGGATACAGAGAAACCCTGCTATATAAACCCATGTCAGGAGCTAGAAAGTCAGTTCCTCAGCGAGATCTACAGTTCCTCCAGAGTTCTCCAGCGAGTTCTGAAGTCTCCAGTCCCCAGCCAGCCATAACTATGCAGTTAAACAATCTGGATTCTGCTAAGAAGGTTCCAACCTTGCAGTAAGTATCTCTCTCTCTAGATCAGCTTTTGTATAATATATGTGTTCTAGTATAGAAGTGTTATTAATGTTCATGGATAAAGAGTTAACTATTAATTAGTATGCTCAATGTATCAGAGAGTAATAAAAGTTATTTGTGAATAGTATTGCTGGTCTGAAACTCATATTCTTTACTCTAACTGTAAACTCCTGGAGTTAGCGACTTGTGGCTCCACTCGTCAGGACAAATCCTCCAACAAATAAATTTGGTGTACAGGTTGGTTTTAATTGAAACTCCAACATTTAAGCTCACCTGAGCGCTAACCTGTTACATATGTGAACATGCATAAATATGACTAATTTTGATAAATTATACATTTCAGTATGTGTATTCAAAGAAACTTTTTCTGATAAACCAATTACAATATGCAACTATATTACCTCCTCATGCTTGCAACAGCAGCAATGGCATTATGAATCCTAGTCATGGACAACATGTTTGATATCTCTGCCACTCCTCTTCCAGCCTCAGACATCTAGCAGGGTACACAAGAAACAACACTGTAAGTAGAAGTCATTCTGACACCTAATGGTTTAAATATGTTATTATCCTAGTATTTAGTCTTAGATTTGATAATTAAAGAAACAATACTGTGTGAATATGCTGAATGTTTCTCCCACAGAGAACAACTAACTGATACACAAAAGAAAGTTTGAATATACCAACTAAAAAATGCAAGTATTAAAAGTAATTACCACATAAATATTAAAATACAATTATATCACATTGATTATGATTTAAAATAAATCACATTCCAAAAAAGCAAAACATTTCAAACATGTCTAAGAATAAAATCTAAAAGGCATGACAAATATTTAAACTGCAGTGTGAAACTGGAAATACAATGTTACATGTTAATATACTGTAGGTCTACTAATTTAGAATACATATAATGATGGCAAAAATGGTGGAAAATTAATACTAATAGACGATCATATTAATTCTGAACTTGTTCATAAAATATTGGAAAGTTTAAAGAACAACAAAGCTCCCAGACGAAATAATATTTTACCAGGGGTTTTGAAGGAGGTTAAAGATTAGATATGTGAGCCCCTTGCTAACATTTTTTTTGTAAGTCCTTGTGTAATGGACAGGTGTCAGAGGTCTGAAAGTTGTCTAATGTTACTCATCTTTTTAAAGTCTTGTATCATTAGTGAAAAACGTTTTTGAAAGTCCTATAAAAGATACTTGCAAAGTCATTTAACAAAGTTTAAAATTTTGTTAGATAGTCAACATGGTTTGATTAGGGGGAAATCTTTCCTTACTACACCTTTGACATTATTTGAAGAGCTAGCTGCTTATGTTGATGAGAGTAAAGGTGTGAAATTGGTATATTTGGGTTTTCAGAATGAATTTGATAAGATGCACATAAAAATCTTGTTAAAAAATTATCTTTGTGGTGTTGGGCAGTGTTTCCCAAATGTCACAGAAAACTTTTGAGCTCTAGAATTATTGATGGAACCCTTAAGAAACATTCTTATGTTAAAATGTTAAATCATAAAAAAGTATTATCAGAAAATTTGTTTTTCGCTTTAGAGTTCCTTCTTTTAGCCTCTTGATTGTGGTGATTACGTCTACAGCTAGAGTAAGCCACTTTTTCAGCAAATATATTCCTTTAAACACTTTTCAACACAAGAGATCAAGCAAGAGCTAGTATGTACATTAAAAAAATAGAAAACTAATAATATATCCTGATGACAAGGCACAAAATCTCTATTTCCTATTGATTTCCTAACAAGTATCATACAGGCATACCTGCAAATTTGATCAAGAAATAAGGGGAGTGTTCCGTAGTAGATAACTTGACTGACTTTTAAGTTGTGTGATAAATAAACAAATTAGACACATCTGAAGGATAGTGAAATGTGTGCATAGAGAAGTGGATGATCATCTCTACTGGATCAGTGAACAGCTTGTCAGCTTTCTGTCCCTCGAGATGAATTTCTGTCAAACTAGTTGTGACTAAAATCAAATAGAACTGAATAGAGAAAGCATGCATAAACTAATCAGGCAAACTTGCTTTTTTTGTCTGGTTGCTATTGTCAGTTCATGACATTTGTTTTTGCTTAGCATTGGTTGGCTGTTATGTCTAGTGAACTCATACTTGGACAGAAAGGATATTCCAGTGCCAAGCCTTTTAACTAAGATGTTATATATTACTACAATATACTCTTGGGCAGAACAGACATTACCTACTGTAGAGAACAAAGCAAAAAGAACAAGGAAATCTTAATGGCTTTTTGGACCATGTGTTGCCACCATTACAGCATTGAAACTAAATAACTGAAAAAAATGTTAAATCTCTATCACAAAAACAGGTAGAAAAAATATGTGTCTGTATATTACAATATGAGGACAGGTTAAGATATCTGAAATTTCGTTTCTCATGAAAAAAGCAGAATTAAGGTGCAGATGATTGAGGAGTTCAAGATTATTAAGAGAATTGATCGTATTGATCCATCATCTTTTTTATATTTAATTTTGAGAGTAGCAGGACAAGAGGACACAAATGTGTATTTTAACAGGGTAGCTAGGAGTCATCTTCAGCCGAAACAACTTTATTTTTCTAACAGGGTGGTTGGTCTTTGGAATGGGTCGCCTTCAGATGTGACGGATGCATTAAATTTGAGGGAGTATAGGGGAAGGTTCTGTAAATATTTAAATGATTAGGACTAGACTTCTGTTTGTTTTTTTTTGTTTTTTAGTGGAGTGACAGCCTGATAAACCAACAGGTCCTTTGTAGTCCTTAAATTTTATATTACATATGTTAAGATGTAAATTTGTTAACAGATATTGTAATAGATATTATATTAACCTCATGCAAGAGGTAAACAAACTAAGGAAAACTTATAACAATTGAAAAATACAATAAAATGTTTTGAATAGATAACATACAAATTTATGTAAATAAATAAATTAATTCATGAAATACAAAAATCAAGAACAATCTACATTTTGAAAAACACAATATAAAAAAAGATAACTTTTAGAAAGTGATCTGAAAAGTTTTCATGAGCTAAAATAGATATTGTTGGCATGTATCACAAAACAATAGCTGGCAATTGTAACTTGAATGATTGGAATCAGAATCAATATTTTGCTGGAGTTAATACACTGAAAATAAACGTGTTTTTAACCCATTAACTGCAGATGATGGATATTTCCGTCAATGAAGTTCTATGGCTAAGCTGAGAATGACAGAAACATCCGTCAGTTGCACATATATAAATATAACTCTATGCGAATGACGAAAACTGCCGTTTTATTGTGATTGATGGCAACTCAGTTTTATCTGTGAGTCAGAAAACGGCAACTGAGCTGCTCCTACCACAGTTAATGGGTTACTGTTAAGATCATCACATTAATAAATTTTAATGATTAGTCTTTGTGTACTACTGACCAATGATCACTGTTGGATTTACTACCCAGAAGCAATAGGTTAACATTTCATGTACTGAAAACTACTGTTTAAACATGCTGCAATTTTGGAATTTTTTAGTCAAACTGGGAGTTTCTAGGAATTGGAGAGGGGTCAAACCTGATCAAAATAATTCCTAAATGACACTATTTTCAGAAATTAAAAATAACAGGTTTTGTAAATGTGATAATATGTAAAGGCTAATTTCTATTTATTGTTGTCAAAAATATTTTGGTATGTTAAGTACTGGGTGAGTGAAACATTAATGACTGAGAAAAATTAGGTTGATTTTCTAACTTGATTATATATATATATATATATATAACTACAAATAGTACCAACTCTAACTCACAGTGATCAAATTATTAGCACTCAAAAGAAGTGATGAAAGTAACCTATTATAATCATATTTAAATCATGTACAACAAAAACAAACAAAAAAATTAAACCATCTGCAGAGTAGTTACAAAAGATGTAGAAAGTACAACTACACAATTAGCACCTAAAGGTTATTTGCAGATATTCTGTTTCAGTAATTAACTTCCACATTTTTGGAGAGATAAACTGTTATGCAAACAAATGAAGACAACGAAGTAGAGTCAAAGAACTATAACAAATGTTTCTCAATACTAAATCTTAATGTAACATATAAGTTATTGACTGGCATTATGGTTGAGAAAAAATAATAAAGGAAAGCCAAGACAGATTTAAAAAAGTAAACCACAAGAGGTAATATATTTATTTTAATCATTTTATTGAAAAAAAATTAGAACTAGAGGAAAGTTGTATAATTTTTTTATAGACTTAAAAGCTCTTTGAAATACTGTTGACTAAAATAAATCATAAGAAAAAATGGAGAAAATCATAATATTTAACATAGCATAATGTTTTGGGACAACATGGGACCTACTGGCCCATCTCAGCTGTTCCATCCTCTAAATTAAACTAAAACTATTAATAAATTAATTAAAAAATATATTAAAGCCAGCCCTTATCATCCATATACTTATAAAGTTTTGTCATAAACTCACTTAAAGTTACTGCCTCCACAACATCTGAAGGCAACTCATTCCAAAGGCTAACCACCCAGTTAGAAAGATAAAACTGTCTTAGCTGTAGATGACTCCCACCCTGCCAAAATTTTTATTTGTGTCTCCTAGGCCTATTATTCTCATTGTTAAGTATTAAAAAAAAAGATGATGCGTCAACTTTATCAATTTCCTTTAAAATTTTAAACACCTCAATCAGATCCCCTCTAACTCTTCTTTTTACAAAAGAAAACATTTTGAGAGATTTCAACCTTTTATCCTAAGACACCCCCCCAAGACCGAACACAATATTCCAAATGTGGCCTAACCAGTGATCTATACAATGAAATTATAACCTCTTTAGACTTGTATTCAATATTTCTGTAGATACAACCTAAAATCTTATTTGCCCTACCACTAGCAACAACACACTGCTTGGATGGCTTTAGAGACTGATCAACCACTACACCAAGTAGTGTTAAGGTTATTCCCATTCAAATTATTCTTATATTTCAAATTGTGATAACCCTCATGCATTATCTTGTATTTATTATAATTAAAATCCATTTGCGATTTATTTGCCCAACTCACAAAATGATCTAACTCCTTTTGTAAATCAGCATCCTCTTCACAGCTAGCAACACCCAAGACCTTAATATCATCTGTAAATTTAAGTAAT